AGCCTCAGCCTCTTTTTCTGCCAGTATGAGATTGCTGGGCTGGCTCCATTTTCTTAGGATGCATTACTTGAATAGTCTGATAGCCAAAGAGAGGGCCACAAGTGTCTCTGTCCTCACTTCTGCTGGTTACTTAGAGCCAGGATAGAAAGAGCAGAAGAAAATGAAGGAGGCAAGGGAAGGGGTCTCCCACATCTGAGTCTGGTTGTCTCTAGCCGACTGAGAGTCAGGCTTCCCAACACAGTTAATATTTGCTGTGAGGACTGTGTTCCTTTTCTATAGCGATGTTTCAAGTAAGAGCAAAGAATTGTGTTTAATGCCTAAGCGTGCCCTTTTTTTTCTTTCCTAACTATAAATCTGCAGTCTTCTAGGACTCTCAGAAACCCATTTATAATAAAAGATATTTTTTGAACTCCCTCCGCAGCCTTTTAACCTGTGGTTTGCAGTGTTACCCTGTCATCTACCAGAACTATCTATCATCCCATTTATTTAAAGAGGAAAAAGGATGATGGGGTATCCCTCAGAAACTCTTGTTCCTGGTGGTAAAGGTCTGGGCTGGGTGCTTCGAGGCTGCAAGAATAAATAAAAGCCTATACAAAATGTAAACCATGGGGAAAGACCTTATTCAAAGGAAAACAGAAAAAGTCGGAACATACTGCAGAAGAGCTGTGGGTTTGACAACACAACACGAGTGAACACACACAAGGGACCTCAATCATTGTTTGTAGCTTCTAGTTATGGGATTCAGAGGCGTTTGTTTGCTAAGGGATACCAGTTGCATGGCTCTCTGTTTTCATTCACTGATTAAATACACAGTCTTGTCTTACTGTGCATGTTCCCGAAGTCAGTCTAGGCTGAATGGGCCAACTTAAAGGTGTACTGAGACACTGAGACTAGAACCTGTAGTGAGAATTTTGGAATTTTGGTTTCTTTTAAAACCACAGAAATATTATAAAAACATGTTTTCATTTTAATTCCAGGTTTGGGGATATGGAGCTGCTTCACAATAACTGACTGTGATTTGCCTCATGCTTTATCAGGGGCCTGATTTTGCCAGGTGTGTATCATTTTTACAGTTGTGTGACATTTGGAATTCTGGGGACTTTTTGGAGGGTATATAACTGCTGTCGTGGGGGAATTGTTGGTTGGTTGTTGGTTGTTGTTGGTCATGGTTTGTTAAGTAGTCATGCACTAAGAAGAAACAAGAAAGAAGCAATTAGATATCCTGATGGTGATAAACTTGCCCCAAGGAGCTGGACGCCCCTAAATCAGCAAGAAGTAGTCTAATGATAATGACTACTTCTATGATAGTCTAAGTAGTCTAATGATAATGATAATGTTGCCCCCTCTCCAACCCCTGACTCTTTATCTCTTTCCTTTCCTGTCTATCCTTTTTTCTCTCCTTATCTAGTGATAAGGGTTAAACCAGGAGGGATCAGGGTGGAAAGAAAGAAGAACCCATAATGTAAAAAATGTCAGTTACAAGAACAACTGTGGGCCAGCCTGCCTTCTTTCTGTATATCCCTACCCCTCTCACTTACTACTCCTTTAGTTACTGCCCAAAGTCATTTTAGCATTTAGGCCAGCTCCGGCCAGCTCCAGCCTACTCTGTCTGCTCTGTTCTTGCTTCTTCTCTAGCTCATCTTTTTTTCCTCTCTCTCCCCATTCTTTCCATTTTTATTTTCCTTCTTATGTGTTTTCAAAACATCACAAGTTGGCCTGATTTGTGGGTCTGTGCCTTAGAATCCAGAGAGCTTGGCTTGTTTTTGGTTATTTGGTTGCATTGGTTTACCTCACCAAACTGTCTCATCACTTACCCAACTTGTCCCAATGGTTACCCTTCTGTTTACTTTTCCTTCCTCTATTTTTTCTTTATTGACCTAAACCAGTCAGTTGCTGGGGATTGGTCTGGTGTGCTGTGTATTCAGATGCTGCTTTCTGTGCCCCGAGATACAGTCCAAAAGTGGGCACTGTCACCAATTGTCTCACCAAACAATGTCGTATAAACATTGCCCCCAATTATCTCTGATTGATTAATAAAGAAGATGAGCAGCCAGTTACTGGGCAGAGGAGATAAGAAGGCTGGACTTCCTTTCCCAGTCTTGGGGTCTCAGGTAGGGACCAAGACTTAGAGAAAGAACAGAGAAGAAGAGGTAGAGAAAGGGCATGGCCATGAGGACTGGTCTGATGGAGCAGAAGCAACTCAGGTAGGAAATAATTTGTGGCATGTGGCTGGGAAATAGCCAGGCCAGCATAGGGGTCTAGAGTAGATCAGTGTCTGCCAGTTACAGAGCCCAAAGCTTATTAATAAATTTAGTAGGTCTTTGTATTGTTGTTTAGGAGCTAGAGTAGATAAATAGAAACCACCCTCCCAAAAAATTTACATTTCTTATATTTTCAGTCACTAGATTTACTTTGCTTATTTTCGTCTCGTTTGCACAGCTGTTGGGTTTAAGGCTGAGCACTTGGCTGTATCAGCTGCCCCAGGGCCCAGACAATACTGCAGAAGACGGGAGTGAGAAAGAATATAAGAGCCAGAAGTTAAAAAGGAGTGCTCATAAATGTTGCCTTTTGGACATGTCATGGCTGATTCAGTCATGAATTCACCTCAGCTGGGATTACTGCCAAGATCATATCACAGGCCAACATTCCAGCAGTCAACACTAATAGGACTCAGTGGATTACAAAAAGAAAAGAAAAGATGGTAAGAAGGATGTTTTAGAAGGCTTCTGGGGAGAGGGGGAGGGAGGAGTTAAAAATAGATAGAATTAATATGTACTATATACATTTATAAAATTGTCAAGGAATAAATAAAGGATTTTTATGTATTTCGGTCTTTTGAGACAAGGTTCCTTTGTTTAGCTGTGGAGCTCACTTTGTACACCATGCTGGCCTAGAACTCACAGAAATCCACCTGCCTCTGCCTCCCAAGTGCTGGATTAAAGGTATGTGCCACCATGGCCCAGAAATAAAGATTTTTTTTTTTTTAAGAGAGGGACTACTGAAGAAAAACCAGACTGAAATATTGGAAGTGAAAATTTCAATAAGTTAAATAAAAGACTCTGCACAAAGCCCAAACCATAAAATGTACCAAGAGAAAGGCAGAATATCAGGGTTTGAAGCAAGGAAAGGGACAGTAGCATTTAACGACAAAGATAAATGGGTAAGAACATAAGAACATCAGAGATATATAAGATTCTGTAAAGGGGCAAAAACTACAAACTCGAAGCACAGAAGAGGAAATTTTTTTTCATACTAAAAAGAATAGAAAATATTTTAAAATCATAGCAGAAAGCTTTTCAAATCTAGGGGAAGTTATGGCCATCCATAATGGAGAGGCATTTATGACAGTCAACATGAGATGATAAAAACTCTCCCATGTTGCATTTTAGCTTAAAACCTAACTTTACAGAAGAAAAGGAAGCATATTTAAAGCTGCACAGAGAAAGACTCATCACAGGCCCTTCAAACTCACAGGTTTCTCAGTAGAAACTTAAAAAACCAAGAAGGCATGGAATGTTTTTCATTCCTTAATCCAGACAGCTACATACACACAGTTGTGAGGATTGGCCAGAGACTCAGGTACCAGTTTTATTAATCTTCCTACTCCCTCCTTCTAGCCCACAGCACTAACCTGAGAATCACTGTAAAGTAGGCAAAGGTAATCTCATATGATGCTAGCAGTTGGTGCTGATGGAGCAGTTGGTGGAGATCTTTTAGATTTTTATTTATTTTGCAGTGCTAAGGATAGAAACCAGGGTCTAGGACATGCCAGTCAATTATTCTACCCTGGAACTACATCCCAACCCTCACATCTCTTAAACTGTGCAAAACAGAAAGGTAAAACACTGCTCCACACCTAAGATTGGAAATATACTCCAGGTCAGGCAGAGCTACATAGAGAAACCCTGTTTTGAACCGCCCCTAACCACCACAAAAAAAAAAAAAAAAAAGATATCTACCCACTGGTCAGAAGAGGGCAGGAGAGGACAGAAAATAGTATATATGAAGGGAAAAAAAGATTGTGTGTGTCTGTGTGTGTGTGTGTGTATATATATATATATATATATATGAAATTTTTTAGCCTGCAGTTGTATAAGTCCTATCAAATAAATACAACTATGCATCCATCACTACAGTCAGTAAAACATTTTCATCACCCTAGAAAAGTTCCATTTTAAAAAAAAATTTTTATGTTTTTATTTTATATCTATGTGTTTTGCCTACATGTGTGCCTGTCCACCTACATGCCTGGTGCCTGAGGAGATTAGAGAAAGATATCAGATTCCCTGGAACTGGAGTTACAGATGTTTATGAGCCATCATGTGGGGGTTGGAAATCAAACCTGGAGCTTCTGGGAAGAGCAATTGTTATGGGGAGTCTACCAGAGATTACCACTCAGGCACAGTTGATAGACAGTTGAAAATCTTTACTTCAGCTGGCTGGGATCACACTCAGGTATTCAGGGACCCAATGTAGACCCAAGTGTCCAGAGCATTGGGTGTTTGAAGGCAAAAACCACATCAGGGGAATTTGCAGAAGCAAGTAGTTTGACAGTAGCTTAGATAAGCAGTTAGCTGTAGGGGGTTCTGCATAAGCAAGCAGTTTATCAGAAGCTAAGATAATCTAGCTGGGGCATCTTGACCTCAGGATTCCTAGAATAGTTTGGTAATTTTCCATGGGACTGATCCATCAAAGAGATCAAATTCTAATTAAACCTGAAATGGCCTCAGCAAGAACACAGGATGGAGGAACCGATGCACTCTCTTTCCTTGTCATGCAGTAAGTACTCTTAACCACTGATTTATCTCTCCAGCATCCACTCATGAATTTTTAATAGCCCTATTCCTAACCCTTGGCAACCACTTACCTTTTTTAAAAAATTACTTATCTGTTTTACTCTTTTTAAAAGTAGCATAGAAATGGAATCAAGCAATGTGCATTCATCCAAACATGTACTTTGTTTCTCTGGATGAAAACGCCAAGGACTGAGACAGCTGGGGTTGTGGCACAATGCTTAATTTTATTAAGAACAGCCAAATTCTTTTCTACCATGATTTCACCATTTGACAGTCACCAGCAGTGTGTGAACCCTCTTGGTTCTTTGCATTCTAGTTCTTAGGAGTGTCAAGAGTTTTATTTTTGGCAATTCTAGCAGGTATGTAGTGGCTTCTCATTTTTATTCTAATTTCCATTTAATACAAGTAATTCTCTCCTTAATAAATTTTTTTTTAAAGATACACTATTTCAAAGCATTGGGACAGTTTTAGGGAAAATACAGCCAGGATCTTTGGTGGAAAATTTGGTGAGAAGAGTTCTCTAGACCACAGAAGTAGGTACTTCTTCCCTCTGGTCCAAAAAGGTCAGGGAGGGGTCATAAAATGGTGTGTGCCCACCCTCACCAGTTAGTCTCCAGAGTTCGCATGTACTGCTGTTGACAGTATTGTCCCGAAGCATTTCCCTTTGAATCTATTTGGCTACTACATTGTGACACTTGATTCCCCCCCAAATGAACCATGTGAACCGCTTTAACGTCAAACTTAACAAATGTTATAAAACCCTCCTCTGCCAAACTATAAGAACAGAACAGAAGAGAACCACCCAAACCCAGTTAGTTACTGTTGCAGGATTCCTTGCTACATCGATTTTTCTGGGATTAACTTCAGAGCTAGTATGAGAACTGTGGGCAGCTGAGCTAGGAAAAATCCACTTCTTCCTAGTCCCTGATTTTGTGATGCTGACAGGCAGAGGCTTTGTGTGTTGGGGGGCTACAGCGGCAGGTCCGTTACTTCTCCCTAGGGCTGAAGCTGCTCAGCCGCAGCACTGCGCAAATCTTCTGGGGTTGAGGCTGCAGTGTCCCCCCAAAGACATATTCCAGCCCGAGGTCCTGGCTTCCTTCTGGTAGGTGAAACCGAAAGGTCCTGAGGAGGGTGGCAAACATCAGGAAGAGCTCCATTCGAGCAAGCTGTTCCCCAGGGCACACCCGATGCCCTGAAAGCAGAGGGAAAGGTCAGAGGGTAACAGGGACCCTGTCTGTCCCCTTATGTCTCCACTCTAGGAGCCAGAATTTTGCCTGGATACCTGCAGAGAAGGGCAGGAAGGCCTCATTGGCCATGAAGTTTCCGTCCTTGTCTAGGAAATGGCCAGGGTTGAACTGATGAGGGCTCTCCCAGTACTCCGGGTCGTACAGCACAGAGGCCAGATTGGGCAAGATGATGGTACCCTGCAGAGAAGAGCTGGTGTAGCTCACCAAGGCTCAGACTTCACAATACCCAGCCTCGCCCTGGGGCTAAAGCAACTCTAGTATGTGGCTGGGAGTGAGCAGGGAACCCAGGATCCATGGAGATTTAGCAGGCAGACCCTCCTCCCTCTAGGCTCACACCAATTAAGGAGCTGGATTCATGATAGCCCACGACTGAAAAAGGAAAAAATGGGGGAAAAAAAAAAAAGGAGGAAAGAAAGATCAAGTGTTAGAAGACAGAAAATGTAGAGCCAGAGATGGAAACTTGACTGGTTGGTACTGGGGGGAGGAGACAATGAGCTATGTCCTCACCTTGCCAAGCTCTCACCCCAGTGCCAGCTCTGTCTCACAAGTGAAGTGAATGAGTGGTTGGAAAGAGAATCACACTGAGTAAGTGGGAGCAGGAAGGGCCAAAGGCTTCCTGCCAAATGACCTATGCTTCTTTCCACGTGGACCCAGGGAAAAAGAGAAACGACACTAGCAGCTAGAGATATAGCTCAGTGATTCAGCACTTGCCTAGCATTCGTGGCCTGAGTTTAACCCTGCACTCCTGGCATAGGAAGGAGGGAGGGAGGGAGAGTGTGAGGGTGAGAAGGGAGGCGATAAAAAGGTCAAAGCAAAGAAAAATAAGTGTTAGTTATGGTCCTGGGACTTAAAACACTCAGCCTCAGGATTCTGGTGTCCAGGATTCAGGATTCCTACCCTACAGGTTATTTAGCAAGTCCGTAGAAGCAGGCCAAATATCCCATGGTAACCAGGACACTGATTGCAGCGTTCTTGGTTTAGACAAAGAAAGCTGTAAGTTTAAAACCAAAGCAAAACAAAAACTGCCGAAGAGTTTGAAGTCTACATCCCAAGCAAAAACTGGAGAGTGCAGAACAGTAGCTCCCAGGAGGTGTGGGCTATTGTCAAGGGTGCTGCACCACCCAGGCTGAAGGGGCAGGCCAGGCTCTAGCCGCTTGGACCAACAAGACACCAAAATCTGCTCCTTCTGAGGCTTTCCGTGGAGGAATTGGGGAGGCGCATGTTTTTACTAGTGCTTGAGTAAGCTACACATTTTCCCATTACCGTGCTGGGAATTCCCTGGGTCCCCGTCTGATGTGTGTGACAGCCCCACCCTCCACTTTTTGTGGTGTTGGGAATAAACCCAGAGCTTCCTTCACATGTGCTAAGCGTGTGCCCCACCACCAAGCCACACCTCAGCCGAATCATCAATTCCTGTTCTTTTGATCATGAGCCTTGGCCTTTAACAGCTGAGTCATCTCTCTAACCCAGCTCAAGGATTCGTTTTGTTATTGTTGTTTCTCAGACAAGGTTTCTCTGTGCAGCCTTGGCAATCCTGGAGTTTGCCCTGTAGGCCAGGCTGGCCTTCAACTCACAGAGATCCACCAACCTCTGCCTCCCAAGTGCTGGCATTAAAGGCTTGCACCACCGCCCCCTGACTCAAAGATTCTTAATAATAACTAGGCGGTGGTGGTGCACGTCTTGATCCTAGTACTTGGGAGGCGGAGACCAGTGGATCTCTGAGTTCGAGGCCAGCCTGGTCTACAGTTCCAAGACAGCCAGAGACAGCTTGAAAAGCATCCGTTACGGTGGACCCATTGCTGTTACTGCCCCTCAGTTGCTGAACCAGTGTGATGAACAATGTCAACTGTCAACTCAACAAAACCTGGAATCACAAGGCTGATGGGCCTCGAGCTTGGCTGGGGGAGGGGTTTGTTGATCCTGTTAATTGAGGCTGTAAGACCTACCCACAGTTGGTAGGGATAACTCCATTCCCTGGGCAAGGGACCCTGGCCTGTGTAAGGGTAGAAGGCGCAGGCTGGGCACTAACATACATTAGTCATTGCTCTCTGTTCCTGACCGTGCGTGCACATAATGTACCTGCTTCCTCATGCTCCTGGTGCCCTGATGTCCCTCAGTGGTGACCAGGGTCCTCTGTGAGATCAAGTGCTCTTAGCCACCGGGCATCTCTCAGCCCCTAGTTTTGGTTTTTGAGATAAGATCTCATATGTAGTCTGGACTTGACTATGTAGCTGAAAGTGACCTTGAACTCCTGATGTGCCTGCCTCTGCTTCCTGAGTTCTGGGATTGCAGGTACGTAATAACCTGACTTTAATTTGTTGGTTTAACAAATTAAACCTAGGTTAAACCTAGGGCCTTGCACATGGTAGAACAATATATGTGTGGACAACAAACACTGGAAAGAGGTAACTTGAAATACCTCGGAACCACAGGAACCTTTCAGGTTATCAGTCTATGGCTGCATTCTGTCATAACCACTGCTTTGAATGCCACAGGTGACTGAGCGAGTGACAGGTGCGATAGTGACAGAAGCTGCAGCAAGTGGCTGTGCTGGGCAGGAGTGCCCTGCAGGTGCTGGCCTGGCACGGGCCTATTCCAGGCTGCTTACCTTGGGCACATAGTAGCCATGCATCCAGGTGGAAGTCACGCACTGCCGCACAGCGCCCACAGCCACGACACTGCTAAGGCGCTGCACCTCATGGAGGACAGCACGGGTGTAGGGCAGTCGCTCTCGATCTTCATAGCAGACGGTCTGCGCAGTGCCCAGCACCTCATCCAGCTCCTGCTGCACTCTCTCTGCAGGTGGCTCCATGAGGGTGTCGGGAAGATGCCTGTGGCCCAGCCTCCCCGCCCCACCCTACTGTACACCTCTATCTGGTTTTCCACCCAGACACAGCTGCTGAAGTACACAGCCCTAGGTTGTAACCCCACACACACCCTGTCACCAGCTGTTCTACGGGAGAGAGAATTTGCTTCTGTGTTTGCTCCTGAAGGGAGAAGTTGTGAGTGGATAAAGGACCCGGATGTGAGTCTCATAGCCTAGGAACTATTGTCTTCATTCGGCATATGAGAAATTCAAGGCTTCACAGGGTAGGTACATTTGCCCTCACAGAACTGGAGCTGGTTGTAGCCAGTTTGTTCCTTGGAGAACTCCAGATAGCTTTGTTCCTCACAGCCGTGACCTTACCTTTAACCCAGGGCCTGACACCTAGTAGGTGCTGAATCATTGAATGAGCAAAGCAACGCCTCCTCCCTCCACCCCCACCCCCCCCCACCCCCGTTACCAGTTCTAAGAGAAAGAATGAATTCCCAAGGTCATGCAGCAAGTCATAGGCTGGGACTGAAATGACCCCTCCATCACAGAGATGAGTACAGGGCCCTCCCCATCCCCATAGAACAGAGTGATGGGCACATGGTGCCTAAAGCTAAAGGCCCCCTTGAAACAGACTGAAGAAGTTAGACTGGGTATCACTGAGAGCGCCTACCCTGGATGGCTCTGTGATGGACCAGGTATATGAGTGCCCAGTGCAGTGTGGTGGCCGTGGTGTCGGTGCCTCCCAGAAACAGATCAATCACCACTTGGATCAGGTTCTCCTCATTGAATGTGGAAACAGGGTCATCCATGGCCTGATGGGGCGGGGGAAGGAAGAGCTCTGGTTCTACGGGCCCTTCTGACACAGCCCCGCTGTCTTCCTAAGGTCTGACTTGTCCCAGGACTTGTAGGATCAGAGATTCCTTGAGGGTGAGACCCCCTGGCTGAGTCCCAGGACTGGGTTAGCTTCAACAGGAGATGGCTGTGGAGTTCTGCCCCCTGAATGCATGCCCTCTGCTTCCCAGCCTACCATCTATAGAGAAGCCCGCTCTGACCTGGAGAGACCCTTTCGTAACCCAAGTTTCAAGGTGCCCAAAGGTTTGCAGAACGAGTCAAACAGGAGAAACAGGGCTCATGGCTGAGAAGTGAGGTACAACCCAGGAGTACAGCCCCTCCACCCCTGAGCTCCAGGCTAACCTTGGTGATTTGTGACAGGTAGCAGCTGATGAAATCCTTGGGGGCCTCAGCTGCTCTGAGCTTGTGCCTGATGATTTCATGATGGACGTAGCCCCTCACAGCCTCATGGCACTGAAATATCTTCTGGTGGGGTCCTGAGAGGTAGCGGAAGGCCCAGGGAAACACGTCGTACAGCTATGGAGAAAATGGCCCACTCAGGACTTACTCAGGCACCAGTCAGGACAGCTCAGTGCTGTACTGGAGGTTCCAAAATAGGTTGGGCCTCTGATTTAAGAAGCTCAGGGCTGGCTTTTGTGTGGCGAGACAAAAATTGTATGGACAGACCTAAGAGCCTAAGAGAACCAGAATCAGACCCAGCCACACCTCCTGCCCATATTTTGCCATCCCAGCCAGATCCTGGCTGAGGCTTCTTCCTAAACCGAATCCAGACATTCCCATGGCCTGCACACCAGCCTCCCCAAAAGCAGATTACCCGGCGCCAAGTAGTGCTGACAAAGGCTAGGCCGAGGTTGATGGCTTGAATTATTTCCAGGAAGAAGGGCTCCTCTGAGAGGAAGTGATGGCCAAACACCAGGGCTCCAATAATTCTTGTTGTGGATCGGACAATGTGGACCTGGGGGTTGAAGGCTTTCCCTGTGAGGAAATGGAGGACCGAGTGTGAGGAGACACAAAGAGCTCTGTGTCAGGACTCATCCAGCCTCAAACTCCGCCATTTCTCTAGTAATTCATTCTCATTCCTCACTCAAGTCCGCCAGGTGCTCCCAACACCTTCTGTGAGCCACGCTCTAGCAAAGATGCTGTGAGAGGCTCATTAGACACAGAACATGGTGCAGACATGTTGCTGTTGGGAAAGACTAGTCATCCCTAGGGTTCAGGGAGAACTCAAGATAGGTAAGGCTGAAAGGGTAAGTATTGGTTCCCACAGGGAAGAAAGGGTTGGGGCCAGTGAGACCTGGAAGGAAAATCAATGTGTGCACAAGGCTGGAAGTATAAAAAGCCCTAAGTGTTAACTGAGGCCACATCCTGAACTACAGAGCACACCTTCAGGAAGGTCCAACTATGTTTCCAAATGCTGCTTCCAGTGCCCTGAGATCTGGGTACCGCCCTGCAGTGGGTATTGTCATAATGTTGAACTGTCTCCTGTAAGCTTGTGACGATAAGGAATAATCCCAGTTATCCCTGATTGGCTGATTAAAAGGCCTACACCCAGGCAGTGCAGAAGTGAGGTGCAGGGCTGGGTCCTTCGGCTTTGGGGAGAGAGACAGGTACTGGAGAGGAAGGAAGCAGAGAGCCTCAGTGGGTTAGTATGGAGAAGAGCCCAAGGCCAGATCATAGTGGGTGGAGGAGAGCAGCCCAGATGAAGAACATTAGCAAGTATTTTGAGATTAAGGACAGGAAGTAGCCCGGATAGAAATTATTAGAGCAGATGGCGTGGGGTGGGGGCTTAGGAGGGAAATTGTCTTTAATAGATAGCAGGTTAGATAATACTGCCATAATAATTATAGGTATTTAATAATAAACATTTTTAGCCCATACTTTTAAATTATCTACAACACACTTCCTTAGGCATTTTTAAGTCTGGGTCCACCAACCGGGGGAACTCCAGTCAAAACCATTAGTAATGTTCCTAGGCTTCAGGGACACACAACCCCACCTAGCCTGAGACGGTCCTATATCTCTGTTGGGATATGCTTGAGTGTGAAGGAGCACAGGGACAGGGCAGGCTTGCCCTGGCCCACCTCCTCTCACCTTGCTCCTGGTGGAACACCTTAGCCAGCTCTGCTGCCTCGTTTTGCAGTTGCAACTCCAGCATCTGCTTGCCAAGGCCCAGCTCTCGCAGAGTCATTAGACAGAAGCGTCTCTGTTGGCGCCATGTGTGCCCATTGCTGCAGATGACACCTGAGTCCAAGGATAAAGAGGATGATCCCCATCCGCACCCCTCAGGCTGCCGCTCTGACCAAGAGGGGCACTGTGGGGTGGCAGTCATTAAGCCTAGTGTTCTTAGGTTGTTTCAGATATGTCTTACCTCTCCAGTCTGATTCTGTCCCAAATCGCCTCAGAAATGGAGGAGGAAATTAGGGAGGAGAGATGAAGGGGCCTACAAGGAGGGCAGGAGGGACAAGGCATTTTCTGAGCTGGCACAGACATGGCCCTCTCAGAGATTCTGGATGGCTTATTCCCCAACATCTGGGGAAATAAAAGCAGTTTCTCATCTAAAGATGGGCAACTGAAAGTCAGAACATGAAGCTGACTTGCTGAAGGCCATGAAGCCAGGGAGGGCTGATCTGGGCTTTCTTTCGGGTCTTTTTAGCATCTCCCCTCACATGGAGAGGTTTAAGAACATCTTTCCGGCACAGCCCTGTCTGTTTACAGTTTTCAACAATCCTTGCCATCTAGGGTGCAGTAATGTCCAGCCAGTTTCCCTCCATCATATGAAGGGTGAACTCACCTTTTTCTCCAAACAGGTCTTGGAAGAACGGAGTGAGGGGCCTCCCTGAGAACTGCTCTGAGTTGGAGACCAGTGCTTCCTTCACTGCCTGGAAACCACTCAGCACCACGATGGGTGTGGACCCCAACCACACGGTGAACACACTGCCGTGAGTCTGAGCCAGCTGTGGAGAGGCCAGGGGTCCCACGGTATGCATGGGTCCCCTGGCCCCACCTACTGAGATTGTCCTTCCTTCCTGCACCCAATACTCAGCTTCTGATGTAACCCCTTGGAGCACTCACCAGCTCCCCAGCCATCCAGCCCAGGGTCACAGACTCCATGGGCATTTAGAGGAATCAGGGCTGAACACTCAGTCCTCACTACGCATTCTAGTATTGAATGCGATATAAAGGCAGTTCCTTGGGTGGGCTTCCCGTGTATTGCCTGAAACCCCCATTCTCCCACCCTGCTTGCTGCTCAGTCTTTATACCCCATTTTTATAACCCCTGAATGCCCCTGCATTTGCAAGGTGAGGAAACTGAGGCTTGAAGCCTTAGAGCTGGCAAGTGACAAGACTAGGCCCTCCGCATTCCCACTGCATTCCAGTGTCCCTAAGCTGAGAAGACAGAGTTCTTCTGTCTGTCCCTTTAGGGCCCCATGTCTGAGCTCCCGCTGCATACCTGGAGTAGCATAGTTGGGTGCAGCTGAAAATTCAGTTGCCATAAATTCCCAAGGAGGGGTAAAGGGAATGGGCCAGGAGGAAGGTGGCTCCTTTTCCAGAAGAAGGCAGCAAGCTTCAGGAGTAGGAAGGAGCCAGCCAGGAAAGCCATCCCACTGAACAGAGAGAACATTTCTGTGGTCCTGTGCCTCCTCCTCTTCCCTTTGCTCCCCAGTCACAAATCGGGCCACCTTACTGCTGTTTACTCTGGCTTTTATGCTCTCAGGCTGCAGCAGAGTAAATCCACTCAGTCACACTACTCACACAGGAGCCATGCCACTCGGCAGGGCTGCAGGGCTTTAGCAGGGGACAAGTTGCAACATCCTGCTACACGAACCCCAGCCTTACTGCTGGCCCACAGTTCCATCTTGGGGAGGCTCCACTCAGCCTCTGCCCAAGTGGTCTGGTAACTGACTAGGTTAGCCGAAAGGATGGAGGCAGTAACGGTTAATGGCAGCATCTCCTCTGGGGACAAACTGTTCCATCAAGATGTGACTAAGGCTGGCCTCCAAGCCTGCTCTCCACCCAGGTGCACAGCAACTTCTCCTGAATCTCCAGCCTGCCAGTCTCCACGGGTGCTGCCCTCTGCTCAGCACGGATGGCTTCTTTACCTGTCCTGGATCCCACATCTGCCAGAAGTCATGTCCAGAGACTTTAGTGTTTGACTGCTTGGGAGTAGACTTCTACGGTCCTCTTGCCTCTGTTTCTCATGTGTGATGGAGATACACACTCACTTTAGCCAACCCCTTTTCAGAACTGTCACATCTGAGCCCAGAAACAGAGCAATGCCACCCTCCAACTGGGAAAACTGAGGATAACTTAGTCAAGAGACTATTGGCAAAGAGGTGTGGACAGGGTAGGGTATCCACAGCGGGAGTCCCTGCCGCTCCAGGTTCTGTCTGAGCAGATGGAAGGCCCTGCCACCTCTGTCTGGAGGTAGACAGTGGTGGTGGCTGCACGACGATACGGATGCCCTTACTGCCACTGTCTCGCGTTTAAGCATGCTAAATGTCATGGTATGCATCGTGTGGATCCATTTCTAGCAATATTTTTTATTCTTCTTGAGAATGTCATACAAACATACTTTTAAAAGCATATCTACCCCTATTCACAACTTCCAACTCCTTCTGTACCCCTAAACACATCCCCCCAGACTTCATGTCCTTTTAAAAATGTTTTTTTTAATTAACTTACTATATCCAATTAGTGATGCTCATATGTGCACAGATGTGGGACAGCCACTGGAGCATAGGTGAGTGGTCCTGCTCCCACAGAAATGTTTGTCCTTCCCCAGCAGCCATCAGCTGCCACTAATTCCTCAACTACAGGTGAGGCTTCCTGAGCCTCTACCCTATCCATGCTGGCATGGCTTGATGGTGTGCAGGTAACCACCGCTGTGATGAGTTCATGAGTGCAACAGCTACACATGTCTAGAAGACAGCATCATCCCGGCTCTCTGGCTCTTAAAATCTTTCCATCCTCTCTTCTACAGTGTTCCCCGAGCCCTGAGGAGCGAGGGAAGGATGGTAACAGATGTCCCATTTAGGGCTGGGCACTCAGCAGTCACTTGTTCTTAGCACTTGGGTCAGTTGTGAGCCTTTGCATTAACTACTGCCCACTAGGGGACGGGAAAAGATTCTCTGACTAATGTGTTTTTGCTTTATTTTGAGAAGGGACCTCAGATAGCCCAGACTGTCCTCAAACTTGATATGTGGGGGAAGATGACCCTCCTTCCACCAAGTGCAGGAATTACAAGTGTATGCCACCCTGTCCAGTTTTTACTACTATTTTTGTTTCTTTTTGAAACAAAGTATGTAGCCTAGACTGGCCTCAAACTCTCAATAGCTGAAGCTGGCCTTGAACTCCTGATCTGCTTGCCTCTACCTCCCATATTTTGGGATTATACAAAGTGCTACCATAGCAGGCTTTGTACCACAATTTTCAAAAGGTCAGGAGGTCAAACTAGGAGGAAGCTGGAGCCCCTTAGAGGAGTAGACTTATAGACAAACCCATGCAGGTTCCTGTGCCCAAGACATACCTAGTCTCTCCACCTCTAGGGGTCTGTCTCCAGGTTCTCCAATTGGATGTAGAGCAAATGTTCAGGTTGCTGGTCTACTGGGAAGTGAGCTGAGCGGAGACAGTGGGTACAATTAACTGGTTTCCATGGACTAAGCTGCCTTTCTTCTAGGGAGTCCTGCTTCTACTTCCCCAAAAATGTTTCTTGATAGACTACAGGTCTTAGCTGGCTGTGGTGGGCTCACACTTGGGAGGCTGAGGCAGGAAGATTGTGAACTGGAGGCTAGGCTGAGCTATGCTGAACGCCTTTTCAAAAACAAAACAAGGAAGAAACTTCCTCTCTCTGAGGCTTTCCTTCTCCGATTTCATCAGAGTTTACCCACCACTTCCACACAACAGCCTGTTTCCCACAGTACCCCTGGCTTCACTGGGACTGATCTCATGGCTCTGTCATGCCTTCCTTGTCCACCTGATTTTCACAACATGGCCAGCTCAAGGGATGAGACTAGGTTTTCCTTTCTCTGGGTTTCTGGTTCAGAGGTTTCTCAGCTTTGAATTGAGTGACACACATTGAGTGAGGAAGGACCTGGTAGTCCATGAATCCCTGTCCCTCAGTGCACTACTCTTCTGCATGAGTTCATGATGATCCTTTCATATAAGAACTTCCTCCTGAGCCAGGCACTGTGGTGCTCACCTTTAATCCCAGAACTTGGGGGGCAGAGGCAGGTAGATCTCTGAGTTGAGACCAGCCTGGTCCACATACAGAGCAAGTTCCAGGACAGCCAGAGCTATACAAAGAAACCCTGTCTTAAGAAAGAAAAAAAAAAAAAACTAATAGAACCTCCCCCTGTCACCACTCCAAAGACAAAGAGAGTCCCTTGAGTGAGACCAAGACTTGTTCTCAACTGTAGTATTTTGTCATGGTCCAGTAAATAGTACCAGCATTCATTTGAACTTTTATGTTGGCAGTTTGGGGTGTCATAAGGGGTGCTGATGGTGGGTATCACAGTTTCATCAGAGGCTTCGGTGTAAATGAGGATGTCCATTCAACAGCTGAGGTGATGACTGGGGCTCCAGAGAGTGGGGTGAGATAGAAAATGGCTCTGTCATATGTCTGCATGTTCCACCTGGCACCATCTATATGGAGCAGGCGTGTTTCTCAGAGCCTTCTCAAATCAGATGTAACCTTTAAAGGCTTTTCTTTAAGATGGAAAAACAGATCACTCTATTGGGAAACATGTCTGCCCAACCTTCCCAAGTAGACTGATCTTTGGCAGGCTTCCTCCCTCCCTTGCCCAAGGGTTACTACATTCTGGCTGCTGGGAAACATGTCTGCCCAACCCTCTCAAGTGTGTTGACCTTTGACAGGCTTCCTCCCACCCTTGCCCAAAGATCACAGTGTTCTGGCTGCTTAGGACAGGACTCGGTTTCTAAAACACAGACACACCCAGAACACTGGGGCACCATCTTTTAAAGATGGCAGGTGATAGGGACATGAAAGCCCCAGGAACAAAAGCCTTTATTTCTCAGCCTCAGTGACTGAGCAGTGGTCACAGGTTCTCTTTGAAATGACTCCCCATGTAGCACATGGCTGACCTTGGTCTAGCTGCCAGCGTGTTGTTCCAGGCCCTTGGTGGACTTCTCAGAGTCAGCTATCACTGCTACCCAGGCCATGGGGCTGTTTCCTTTTTAGAATTCTGGAACAAGAATGGACAAAATACAGTCTCCCATGCCATTACTCTAAAACCTGTAGTAAACCAACATGCCCTTTCTAAGGCATCCACATGGATTTCTAAAGTACTTCTTGAAGCACTGGGAAAGATGTTTCTCACGGCAAGGTGAGGTCACTCGTAAGAGGTGGGAAGGCTGTAATTCAAACCCAGGTCTTCTGTCACCAATTCCGTGTTCTCTTTTCATGGCTGCCTCCAGCTGGGGCAGGAGAGGCTCTGAACCAACACTGGTAAAGGAAACTCCTGAAGGAGATGTGGAGGACCCCAGAGCTTTCCATGCCTGTGAGTTCTAATCCAGCTACAGAAGATTAGACTCTCCTAGGCTGCTGCCTGCCTCCCGTGGGTAGCTACATCCATAGTCCCTCTCCCAGTGCAGGGAAAGTAGATGGCCCTGGGGGTTCTGGGAATGGCCACTCCTTCCTCTCTGCCTACAGACTCAGTCAAGCAAGGGCCCTTTCCATGCTCTAAATAACAGTGGTTATGGTGGATTTCAGCATCAGCCACGGCACTAGCATGCTGCTTCTCTCTAAAGATAGCCTCTCATTATAGAGGCCACTGCAGCCCAGTCCCCCACCAAGAGGGAAGAGGATCGAGAGAGGGGACATAAAGGCAGACAGATAGGCAGAGATCCCTGTGCTGACCTCACACACACAAAGACGAGGTATTTGTGTTTCATCTGGATAATGTGAGCCAGTGCTTCTCCTGGGCCACAGGAACAAATACAAGTGTGGCCTGATTCCTCTGGCTCCAGTG